CTCAACTGGAGTCTATATATATATATATATCTAACCAATAGTATTTGGATTAACTTCAATACAAATTTTATTTTATTACAAGAATTTCATTACAATTTGCAAGATATGGTCTCACAGCACTAACAAATGAAACAAGTGCTAGTGGATAGAGCTAGTCCTCAATGTTACCTTTCTAATGTTTCCATTATCTGGTGGACAAAATTAATGTGATCCTGTTGGATTTCAAAATGGCTCTTACCTATTTATTCATCAAATTTAGTCCTGCTTTTCTATGGTGTGTGAGAAAAGTCATTGTGTGTATCTGACTTGCTGTGAATTATTCTAGAAAGGCCTGTGGAAGATAGCAAACATTTAACCTTGGGGGGGATTATATAAATTAATAAAAATAATTCAGGTCCTAGCTACTAGTACTAATATGCACATAGAGAACATTTTTTTAATGTATTAAAGGCTTCGTTTGTTTTGACATAGAGAATATTTTTTTAATGTATTAAAGGCTTCGTTTGTTTCGACATAGAAAATATTTTTTTAATGTATTAAAGATTTCGTTTGTTTCGACGTTAAAATATTTTTCTTAAATATATATATATATATATATATATATATATATATAAAATATAGGGTTGCGTGAAAAAAAAAATCCTTATGGTATGCAATATGCATATAGAGTATATATATATAGATAAAACATATATACATATATTCAGCATTTGACGAAAGTCAACTAATTAAATGTGAAATAATTAAACTGTCATTCTTTTGATATATATATATATATATATAAAATATAGGGTTGCGTGAAAAAAAAAATCCTTATGGTATGCAATATGCATATAGAGTATTCAACCCTATTTATTTTAAACCACCTTAACATTCAATTTTGGTATAAACAAGGACCTGAATACTGAAAAGACTAAAGAATCCCTTTAAATTTGAATAAAAAACAGGTAAAAAAAAACTAATTTAATGTGACAAATGTGTTTATATATATATATATATATATATATATATATATATATATACATATATTCAGCATTTGACGAAAGTCAACTAATTAAATGTGAAATAATTAAACTGTCATTCTTTTGATATATATATATATATAGGGTTGCGGGAAAAAAAAAAATCCTTATGGTATGCAATATGCATATAGAGTATTCAATCCTATTTATTTTAAACCACCTTAACATTCAATTTTGGTATAAACAAGGACCTGAATACTGAAAAGACTAAAGAATCCCTTTAAATTTGAATAAAAAACAAGTAAAAAAAAAACTAATTTAATGTGACAAATGTGTTTATATATATATATATATATGTATGTATATATAAGAACATTAATTATCTGAAAAGACAAGGCTATTTTAAAATTTTATATCTTAAAAATATTATGTGCAATGCACATTAACAAATTTTTAACGAAACAATGATATCAAGCCATTCTTTACCATATTTTTTCAAACTTAACGGACTTTTTTGCCTATTTTTTTATTCAGTTATAGAGAGACAATTTAATCTTTTCAGCATTCAGGTCTTTATTTGCTCCAAAATTGAATATTATGAATTTTTTAGAACGTATAAAGGGATTATACACCCTATACGCATACCATAAAGGTCTTTTTCGTTAGACGCTTTCTTAAAACTTCCCTAAATTCTATTGAATAAAATGAAAAACATATGAACACTTAGATTTATTTATTTATTATTTTTTAAAAAATTTACAGAAATGTGTCTTCTAATTACGGGTGTGAAAGTAACTTATATAAAGATGATATTCATTCGAATTATATTATTATTATTATAAATGTTGAGTTTTGGATTGACGGTTATGATCCAATGGTAAGATTATTGTATTGTGTCATTTCTTTGAGCAGAAAAAAGTTTTTCCTATGAAAAAGTAAAATTTGCCACATGTTTAAGTTTTGGGCGATAATCGATATACTCAAAATAAAGGGTGTTATTTACCCAAAATGTAAATATTCTAAGTGTTTTCTCACTTTGCCCTTATAAGAGGATTATAGGAAGAGATAAGGGTGTTTTCGAAATTTTATATTTTAACAGTGGCTTTTTAAGTCCTTTATTGTTTAATTTTCAAACTTAACCGACTTATATACGCAACATAAGCCCTTATTTGCTAAAATTTTTAAAACTTAATTAATGAAATTATATACCCAAAATAAAAGATATGAGAATTATTTATCCAAAATTAAAATATTAAAGAGTGTTTTTTTCATTTTACCCTTAAGAAATTCAAATGTTTTTTTTGGAAGTTAAGAAATTCAAATGTTAAGAAATAAACCTCATATCAAAAGTTCCATGTGCAGAAAGCACAACTGTTTTAAAGTAACCTTTTAAACTAATGCCAAGGCTTTTGTGGTGTTGCATCAAAATGCATAGACACATGAATGTTGGGAGTAATGTGTGTTGTATTGGATCAATCAAATCAGGCTGAAACTAACCTTTAATGACAACCTAAAAGCAGAGAGTTGTTATTCCAGTGACCTTTCAGGCTGCTAGCTTTTGTGAGCACAAATTGGTCACAGATTTAGTGGAAAAGTGTAGCCCACAATTATTATATTCCAAGGCCTTGACAATGACCTATTATTATTATTATTTTATGCCACTTTCAGCTTTCTCCAAACGCTAGGTAACATCTGGTAATGTCTGATACCAAAAACCAGCCTGTAGGTTCGCTGATTCTATATATATATATATATATACACACACTACTATATTGAAATATAAAAATCTGCACGCCCCTCCTTTACTTTTATCAAATCTGATGTTACAACAATAGGCTTTATCTCGTGTAGGTATTCTTGTTGGTGTTTACTCTATATCCTAATTTTATTATTCAAAACATGAGCTTATTTGGTTCAATATTGTTTCAACAGAACTGAAAATAAAAAAAATTGTATATATTGATTCATTTATAAAAAAATGTTTTGTGAAAATCCAGTTAAAAAAATTACAGAGAACTATAAAACAATTTGTTTGGTTTGTTAGAAAATAATTCTAAAAAAAAAAATATTACAGAAAAACTATTTTCAAAGCTATAAAAGACAGTTTTAAGAAAAAACATGCTATTTGTTGTTCGCGATTTCGACGGGTGCATTGTCAAAGCTGCCATCTGTTCCTTGCCACACATGACTTTTGCTCTAATGGCTGAAGCTGCAACAGCTCGAAAGGCTATCGAATGGAGTTTGGAGGGGGGCTTTACTGATTTAATTGTTGAAGGTGATTGCAAAGTTCTTCTTGATTCAAAGAGTCCTCAGAGTTGCGTAGCTGCTATTTGGGACGATATTAACTTTTTGCTTACCAAGTTTCAAAGCATATCTTTGAAGTGGGTTGGTAGAAAAGCTAATTCAGTAGCTCATCTATTGAGTCATCTGAGTTTGAAAGAGAAACGTGATATAATGTTTGATCTTGCTATTCCCAGAGTGATTCAAGACGCCGCCTTTGTGGATTGTCATCAGTGGTAATGTGTTTGTTTTTTTGAATCAATGACATCTTCTTTCTTGCCTTGAAAAAAATAAAATAAAAATGCTATTATTATTATTATTATTATTTTTAAAAAAATTAAGTTTTCAAAAACTGTCAACCAATCAGATTAATAGACAAGACCCTTTTGGTTTTCTAAATTTTTAAAAACTGTTTTTGAGTGACAAATAAAACAAACATGTTTTGAATTTTTTATTTATATTAAATTAGTAATCTTAAAATAGTTTTCAATTTTTTGAGTTTTTGAGAATTTGCTTTATCTTTATAAAAAAAGAAGAATAAGAAGAAAAGAAAGGAAAAATAATTTTAGTAATTAAATGGTTTGACAATGTGTAATTTTTTTGTTACTTTCTTTTTCTTCTATGTCGTGCATTGATAGTCTACATTTGATGTTGTTTGGCCTTTCAATTTCATTCAAAATAAAATGTGTTTTTATGAGGATGTTTTACAGCAACATTTTATAATTTATTTATTGGGAAAGGAAGAAACAGGGGAGAGGTAAGTCCTTGGTGCTTTTAAGATTGTGATATGGATACCATCCGTAATACTTCGATATTAAGATTTTTTCTTTCATCGCACGTCACGAAAATGTATTTTTAAGTAATCTAGTCTTATTAATTGTATTTTATGCATTGATATCACTGAATTTCATTTGATTTTATAAAATAGATTTCAAACAGTGTAATTAAGTGCATAGGTAAAAATAGTCCAACACTTTGAAATCATATAAATATTGATGCAACCTTGTCCTAATAAGCATGCAAAATAATAAAACAAAACCTAATAAAACAAAACCTAAGTCAATGATTGATTTATTTGCCGATAAGTTATATATGTGTATATATATCTCAATTCATAACAAAGTGAATCGACCTATATGTTACAATTATTTCTAATAATGTTTTTTTTCACCTTATTTTCTCATTTTATTTAAAACTCGCTCCTTGATTTTTACATGTATGGTGTTCTTGTGTATAAGATCTTATGAATCAAATTGTTGCTAAACCAAAAAATGGTGTGTTCAAACTTTATTTTAATGGTTGGAGTGATGTTGATGGCATGGATTAAGATTGTTGACAATGACAGAATAGCATCCGATGGGATTACAAAGCTTCTACATCTTGTCAATAATTAGCTGGTTCATGTTGATTTAAAAAAAATTAAACTACTTAAAGATAGTTAATTATTATGTTTATTGATAGCAATTTTTATTTTTTCTAACAGAAAAAGAGAGGGTGCAAGATTTGAATACCGACTTTAGGCACAGGAAGCAATCCAACTCCTCCGAGACACTTGCTTCATGGTAGTACTTAGCGAAGCCGATAAAAAAATAGAAATTTTCTAGGAGGTAGTTGACAAAAAAAATTACAAAAAATGTGGCAGTTATGTAATTCACGACAATATGAGGGTCACTTTCAAATTTTAGTGCCCTTTACCCGGCAAAATTCTCTTCAGAATTTCAAAATCAGAAATTCCCCATGCTTGAGAGTTGACCATATAGCTACTGGACCGTCTCTCTCTCTCTCCAATTCTCAGCCGTCCAACGGTTACTTTTCTCTTCTTCTTCTTCTTCCGCCTCAACAGATTCTCATCTTTCCGATCTCTCCCACTTTTTCTTCATTGCTTTCCCAAGCCAAGAATCTCTTCCACCTGTTTCTTTCTCTCTCCAACACTTTCTCTCTCTCTACAACTCTTCCTTTCTCCCCCGAGAGATTCCTTCTTTCTTTCTCAGCTTAACTTTTAATGATGCCATTTTTCTTCCTCTCCCTCTGTTCTATTCCCTTTACCTCCAAACCCTTTCCTCTTCTTCTCTCTCCCTGTCATTTTCAATTCGCTTCTCCTTTTCTCCCTTCTCGAATTTCTGGCAACACTATACGTACATTTCGATCCCCATGTCTTCTTCGGGTGTCAATCATATCTCTCAGCCTTGTATACACGGTACCTTCTGTTTTACAATCAATCCCAATTCTATTAATTACTGGCTCATACATGTCACACACTTGTTTGACAAAATGCTTCACTGATATTTGCATTTCATTTCTTTTGATTTCATCAATTGTGCCATATCGATGCGTTATTGCTTTTGTACATGAAAAAATAGGATGAGTTGATTAATGATATTTTTGTATGGGGTTTAAGCAGGTCACTTTGTTTCTTCACACGCAGAGAGGAAGTCTCGGTTCATGAAATGGTTGAGTAAACTATTTAAGAGTGGGTCAGGTCGTGGAGAAACGAGTGGACGACATCCACAGTTTCTGGGAGAGGAAAATATGGTTTTGCGCGCTCCGGCTAGATCATTGGTAAATAGTACACTGTGTTATCTATTCACGGGTTCATGCTATTACAATGTCAATGGTTTAGTAGATATGTGTTTCTTTCAGATTATCTAATAGATATGTTTTGTTACTATATCATTCAGCTACAGATTTATGTTTTCTAAGGAAAATCGTACTATTAAAATGTGAATTATAGAGTTTAATATATGTATATATATATATATATAAATTTTTTTTTTAGTGAACAGGAGTTCATGCTAATGCATGCAGTATAACTTTATTCTTTTTCATCTACCAGTGATGTTATGAATATGGTTATGACTTATGAGAATCAACCTCTAACTCGATTATGGCATTGCTGGGCCTGGTACTACTAGATGTTACTGATACTATTCAAAATTCGCTGATACACAGTGATTTGCTGAAGCAATAAGTTTAAACTTAAAAAGGAAAAATAAAAAAAGTTGTCTTCAAGGACCTATCAGGTCAGTTTAATGGTTATTACATGTAGTTTAATATACATTGTATGACCAGAAATTTATTGCATGTGCTCTTTAGGAGGTTTGTTAGACAAACAAGTATAGTTTTCTTTTTTCCTTTTCCTCATAAACAAAAACTTGTTTAATGAAACTCAAAAGATAATTTTTTTTTTTTTTTTTTTTTTTCTCTCTCCCTTCCTTCATTATATATATTTATATTGACAATTAAATCAATAAATGTACATGACTTTGATTTTTTCTTTTTGGGCAAGAGCTGTTTAAAAAAAAAAATCAGTTCAATGCACATATTTTTTCTTTTTGGACAGTTCTTCCACAAATTAACATAATGGCCTTGGTCAAGCTAATGGGACCAGACTTTAGATTATTGATAGTAGCGTGGAGATAACACTAGAACTGAAACTTCCTCAAGTCTGTCCCGGAAGTTGGCAAGAATCTGCATTCAATGTCCTCTGCCTTTATCTTTTTGTTGTAATCATGGAAACTTCAGTGGCTCTAATCTGAAAAGCAAACCTCTGAGATTTGTAACATAGACAACAATCCCATCTGAAATTTGTTTAAATGAGGATGCTGCATTGCAACTTATCTTAGCCATCCTGACAGAATAAGTGCTCCATCTGGAACAAAATAGAATGAAAATATCGATCTCTTCAACACATGAGGTTTTTTTTCTCCCTCAATCATTCTTGGAAGTAACTAAGCAACTTAATGGCTCATCATTTATTGCTCATTCTGATTCTGTAACGCTATGTCTTATCATGACTTGCTCAATAAGTATCAGTAATTCCCTAACTAGTGTCATCATTGGCAATTCTTTAAGGTTTTGTTGCCAAATAGTTGAGATTGACTGTCTGAAAAGATAAATTTGCAGGAGAATAAATCACAATGAGTCCTTTATCATATATGATATGTCCCAGGAAATACATTTATGTATCAACTGATACATAGAACTGTTGTTTGCACTTGTCATTAGAAGTCATGTATTGTCCAAAGAATGATTCTGGAATTCTGTGCTATCACTACTTAGAAAAATTGCAAATAGTATATTTCTCGGCCACATGTTAATTTATAGTTTCTCAAATGGTTATCCTATTATTGCATAACTAAATTTCTTATGTGCTTCTTAACATGGAGTTGTTTTGTTAAAAGTTTATTAAATTTGCAGGATGATCGCTCTAGAGCAGGGAAAGAGAAGGAGGAATTAGACCGTTCAATTGCACTTTCTCTGGCAGAAGATTTGAACAGACCAAATGGTAGGTTTGTAGTTTGCAAAGATCAAGCTCCTGTTACCTTCAATCATCCCTCCCATCCCACGCTCTCTCCTCTCTCTTTCTCTCTTGCTCTCTCTCTAATAATACCCACACGAGCTTTATATTTTCCCCGTTCATATCCTAAATTTAGAGTTCGGATTTTTTCAGGATACAGATGGAAAACAGATAATGATGAAGAAATTTCAAGGGCACTTCAGGAAAGCCTCGATTTATCTTCTTATCCTCCTTATGCCCCTCCAGCATATTATCCCGGATGTTATAGGTAGTCGTTTATTTATACTTGCAATTTGTAAACATGGGCTGCTTGGTTGCACCTGAATTTTAGGTGTGCAATGTCAATTATCATAAGTTTTTGTGTAGTTTAGGATTTATTAGCATAGTTGAAAAGAGTTTGTGATTGGCTACTACTGACCTATTTGTCCCACTTCTCTTGTCTGCTTAGTAAAAGGTCAATTGAATTGGCTAGGCATGAAAAATGCACTGCTTAAATAATTTGTATGACTAACTAATTGATTAATCCAAGGCTGTAATGACCTCAAATTATGCAATTCAATCCTAGCCAACACTTCCATTTGAAAGTATGGATTAGTTTAGTGTTTGCTAGATTTCTTTTCCGAGTATGAAGCATGTGTGCATTTTATGAGAAAAAGCAAAATTGAGATTGTCATAATTCACATTTTATAAGCAGCGCACTTACTAGTATGGCTCATTTGACTTAGTTGATGGTATGAAGAAGCTATCCGTTAGCTTCTGGTAATGAAATTTTTTGCTTTCCAGCCAATAGTTTTGGACATTTATCAAGAATACTCGACTATGATCTAGCCCACCTGTAATAATGTGCTTGTAAGGCCTTCTTATGATTAGACTGATATAGTAGCTTCATTTTCTTACTTCACCCAGTTTTACTATTCATGAATAGAATCATTTGCTACCACAGAAGTCGTGAGTTTTCAAATATTGAATTTGTCTGATCATGTATGCATGTGTCTATAACTTGCAGAGTATGTGGTGGCTGCAACCGTGACATTGGCTATGGTAATTATTTGGGATGCATGGGAACTTTTTTCCATCCAGAGTGCTTTTGTTGTCGATCTTGTGGTTTCCCGATCACTGAGCATGAGGTAGTTTGTTCTTCTTGGGTCTAAAAATGTCTTTTGATCCAAACACCACCTAGCCCATCCACACAGGGAAAAACAGACACAGGCTCAAAGAAAAAGAGAAAAACCAGCAGAGACTATCTTTTATGTTAGGACGTGTAATGCTATTGGATTTTTCTTGTATGTTCTTATTTGGTTTTTTCTTTTGAATCAAGTTTTCTTTGTCCGGGAGGGATGCATACCACAAGTCTTGCTTCAAGGAGTTGAACCATCCCAGATGTGAAGTTTGCCACCAATTTGTAAGGAAGCAGTACTTGGCACATTTGAACTGTTTTTCATGCTGTAATTTGTTCTCCAATAGCGATGTTTTATTATTTGTATTCATTTTGAGTGCGCTTTGTTAACTTGTGCCTCACTAGTTAGCCATTGTGCCCCTTCGTGGAATTGAACCCTCAACCTTCTACTTTGAAAGGTGGGGAGATACCACTAGGCTAGACCCTTGGTCTTTGGAAATACAACAATTGCCCTGGTAGCACTTCAACTTGTGGTAGTTGCAGATGTGGTTTAGCCATATGTCTAACATTTGGTTAATTAGACTTGGAGAAATATCTCATTGAGACCTTTCCTTTGAACTTGGGTAGCCTACTTGGGCTGAACATATTGACATTCCTGCAAGATTGTTCTTGGCATTTTGGTTATACCTTATATTGAAATAAGTTTCTTATATTTGAAAATCTGTTCAAAAATTTATTCATGTGGTTCAACCTTCTGCATAATATTTGTCAAAATTGATAGTGAACTATCTTGATTTGAACATGTACAGTGAAATTCTTAGATTTAATACCTCACAGACGACTATTACTGAAATAATATAGGCACTAAACACCATTAGAGTTACCCTACGTGACACTCTTATGATCATCTCAAACACCCTTTACAGATGGCCTCAATGAGGACATTTCTCTAGCTTATATGCAGTCCAACATATTCATGACACCTGTCCTCCTGCCATTCTAGCCACCCTCTCAGGGTGCATCATGTGAGTCCCTTGAGAGATCATTTCACACGGTGCCTTGGCCTTGAACCTCGACAGGGAGGGCAATGCTGAGGTACTCCTGTACTTGCTTGGTTTGGCCCCTATTGAAGATTTTACTCCACTGATTTCTCCATTAAATCTTCAATAGCCCCTATGGTTAGGTTGTTTCAATCACTGCAGATCCATCACCTTCGCCCCCAGTGAAGCCATCTCAAAGTGATGCATCCTGACACATCACATCCTGCCTCCGGAAGTTCTTTGAGCTTGATGTACAATCATGTTGTGACTTCAAGGTATGGCTCCAAGTGGCCACAGTGTGACCTTAGAACTGCATTTTACTATCTGGAATCCTTGGAGTTATGTGACTTGATAGCCAAATTCCAAGGCTACCAAGGCGTATTCTCGACTCTCAACTGTAGATTTTGGTTGGTCTGAGCAAGAAAAATGCCACAACTCCTCCAGAATATTCATCACATATTGTGTTTAGTGTTGTTAAAGGCGCGCTTAGGCATGTGCCTAGGCTCAGGGCGCAGGTCTAGCACCTGTTGTCATCTCAGGCTCATTGATGTTTACTAGGCACGCATCGGTTGCGTGTCGTCCTATTTGTCAGGCGCGCCTCACTGCTTTTTTTTTTTTAATTTTAAAAAATGATTATTCTATTTCTTAAGCCAAAAAGGGTACTTCTGGCAACTTAATAAACTAATAAGAAAGCCTAAGCTTATGAGAGAAGGAACTTTTGTTCAAAAGAATAAACAAATAAGAAAGCCCAAGAGTCAAAGTGTCAACCGAACATAGAAAGAGTGAGATTGTGAGACCAACGACGTAGCCCTAGTTGTAGAGACAAACAATGAAGCCATATCAGTTATTTCTTCTTCTTCTCTCTCTTCTCCTCTACTCTCTCCTCTCATCTTTGGTTATTTCTCTCTTCATATAGTTCTCCTCTCTCTGTCTTTTTCTTTTTCTTGGGCTCCGTTTGTTCTCTTTTTTCTTCACACTCTCTCTCTATTCTCATCTACTTCTCTCTCTTCATCTACTTCTTTTGTCTCTACGTCTATTTTTTGGGGCTTTGGTGTTTTTCCTTGTTAACAGTTTTTTTTTTTTTTTTTTTTCTGTTTTGTTAATAGATTTATTTCTTTTTGTGCTCTGTTTTTCCATTCAAAAAAAACAAATTCTATTTTGCCTTTCAAGAAAACAAATTTGTGTTGTATTTTATGGTTAAATGCTTATATAGTTGATGGATTCATTTTTTTATAGTTGATATTAATTTTTAGAATATTGATACGACTTATGAGATATGAATGCTTTTATGGTAGTTTAAAATTTCGATTGTGCGCCTCACTTCACTTAGGCGCGCGCCTAGCGCCTAGGCTCCAAAGGACCTCTAGTGCCTTGGTGCGTCTTGACCCTTTAATAACATTGTGTTCACGTGTATTCTCCTCCTCAACTACATATTCTCTTGCGGAGATTGCAAATGCTGGCCCTAGCTATTTTTCTCCAACTGGCTAATTTGGCTCAGGATATACGTCGGTTTTGACCAGCTTTCCTCTCCCTACTCATTTCATATAAAGAAACTGTGGCATAGTTAGGATTCTCCCTCTAGTTTCCTTTGGTTGGAAGTCACAATCATTGTTCCTTAGACTGCCATCTGCTCTCTCTGTCTCTCTATTGCTGTATGTGCACACACACACACACACACACACATATCTCCCCTCCAAGGCTGCCTCTATTTCCATGCTCAGTCACTTTGGATTCCATTATCATATGTGTAATATCTTCCCCTCTGAAACCCGACTGCACACCATAAAATGGTAATGCGTCCAGAAAACTATAAGAAGTTAATAACCAAGTACTATGAAGCATATATACTATGTAAATTTCAAATTATATACTCCGTTATGTATTTATGTGAATTTGGAGAAAGCAGAGAGCTGCTTATTCTTTATCATTATATTAGTGTAAATATAAGAAAATGAATATACATTTCTATTCTCTTAATTGGAATAGAAATAGTAAGAAAGATCGAAAAAGAATCATCCTACTTCTTTTAGCTGAAACCATGCATCTTTGGACCTGATATTGAGCCAATGTGAATTATTGGCATTGTCATAATGATGATTATGTTTTTGCTTTTACATATATTCAGATCCCAACAAACGAGGCTGGTTTAATTGAGTATAGGTGCCACCCGTTTTGGTCCCAGAAATATTGTCCTTCTCACGAGCACGATAATACTGCCCGTTGCTGTAGTTGTGAACGTTTGGAGGTACAGACGTGTTACTGCAATTTATTTTTTATTTTTAAATATAAATAACTTTTTATCTCGAAAATGTTGTTTTTTCAATATAGTTAGGCTCTATGACATAAGATCGGTAGTTCCACTTATAGTATTTATTGTTGACATTGTCTCCCTTTGCTGCTTACTGAAGTCTTGGAATGCAAGATACATTTCTTTGGGCGATGGACGGAGTTTATGTTTAGAGTGCATGGAATCTGCTATCATGGATACTGGTGACTGTCAACCACTTTACCATGCCATTAGAGATTACTATGAAGGAATGAACATGAAACTTGATCAGCAAATTCCCATGCTTCTAGTTGAAAGACAAGCCCTGAATGAAGCTATTGTAGGGGAGAAAAACGTAATTTATGCTATTTCCCTCTGTTTCATATTTTCCTGATTTCTTTAACTTCTCTGACTCAGAATTTGTTTTTTCTAGGGATTCCATCACATGCCTGAAACAAGGGGTTTATGCCTGTCTGAAGAACAGACTGTTAGCAGTGTAAGACATTGGCCCCATTTGCTGTTGCTTATTTTACTAAATTTTGAAAGAACTTGTGCTACTGTGCCAAATATTTATTTCCTCACTGTGTTTTGAAATGTGTAGATACTTAAAAGGCCAAGAATTGGGGGTCGCCGACTAGTAGGAATGAGAACACAACCTCAGAAGCTGACTCGAAAATGTGAAGTTACTGCCATTCTTGTTTTGTATGGCCTTCCAAGGTAAAGCTCAGTGGACTTCTCACGTAGTTTTACATATTTTAAAAAAAAAAATGGAAAAATATATTTATTTTTCTTTAGGGGGTAAAAACCAAACCCTATTGATTAAAGGGCCATTTTCAAAAGTGATATATGTGGAGTAAATAGAGCTAATATCTAATTATCATTTGATGTTTGTGGCATTTACATTAAATTAGGTTTGAATCACATTTATGGGGCTGGCTCCACCTTTAGGCAATAATTGCCTAAGGCGTCAAATTGTATCTAACGGCCCTCCACATATAGCCTACACTGGCGGTGGCTTCCTCCATAAATTTTCTCAGTGCAGAACATTTTCGAAAGGCAGTATCAGACCATTTGAAGTTTAATTTAAACAAAATTTATTTTTATTTTCATTTTCTAATTAACACTAGTATTAAGAATAAATCTTGTCAGATTATCTAGTCCTTGAAAATCAACCAGTTCTAATTATGCTGCACTTTGTTTACATTCTTTTACAATTATCAGTCGCCTACTCTGTCTGAAAAGTGCCAAACCTGGCAAAAGTTTCTGAACCTTAACAGATTCCGTCATCATTGTTTGATACAGATTACTAACAGGTGCAATTCTTGCTCATGAATTGATGCATGGCTGGTTACGCCTTAAAGGTAATATACGTGTTATCTTTCATTAGAATGAAGGCAATAGAAAATATATTGATTGATTAGGATAACATATGCTGGAAAAGAAAAACTTAGCTCCTGGCACCTTTTCATCAGAACTACGCAAAGCTCTATTTAGTAACCTTCCGATGCCATGCGTTCAGTTTTTCTCTGTGAGTTAAAGTTTTCAGGCAACGCTTTCCCTTCCCCTTACATCTTCCTTAAAGAATTATGCAGGCTACCGCAACCTGAATCCTGAGGTAGAGGAAGGAATCTGCCAAATGCTTTCATACATGTGGCTCGAATCAGAGGTAATGCCCGGACTCAAAAGTATGCCATCCACATCAGCAGCTTCGTCGTCGTCGTCGTCGTCATCATCATCCAAGAAAGGTGGAAAGTCGGGTGTTGAAAATAAGCTGGGTGAGTTTTTTTTGCATCAAATTGCCCATGATGCTTCACCTGCATATGGGGTAGGATTCAGGACTGCCAATGCAGCTGTCAATAAATATGGTTTACGCTGCACTCTGGACCATATTCGCCTGACCGGAAGTTTTCCTCTCTAGGTTTTATTACAGTTTGTATGGCTTCTTCTTCCTTATAGATTTCTTGGCTTTGCATCTGTGGGTGATTATTGAATAGCTTCTCAAAAGGATTGAGTTGATCATAGAAGTTTGGATTAGCTCTCCCTAGGTTTTTTTTGGGGACCTTTTGAGAATACATGTGTAAAAACGACTCGAAACTTGATAATAATAAGCTTCTGCTGTCTACTTGATTCATTTGGAATGAACTCTTCTGAATTTTTGTTAAAAAATAAAAAAAATAAAATAAGAATTTTCATGAAAAGATCAACATTGTGTATTTTGGTGGCCCGGAGAGCTTTTACTTAAATTCATCATCCCTTTCTTGTATCTATTGATTTGTTTGATTTTTTAACTTCTCTAAATCTATACCATTTCTTTACTCTCTTTAATCTTGTTCAATTCCATCATTAAAAGATGACCACCCAATCACGCAGCATGAATAAAATATGAAAAATGATAAAAATAATTTTTATATACACAAACATTTTTATATATGAAAAATGAAATTATAAACATTATTTTAGCCTCAAATACAAATTAAAAAAAAAATAGAAGAAGAAGAAGGAAACAAGCTTTGGAACTGTAGTCCAAACAGCAGCAGCAGCAGCTACTTTGGAGGAAAACTCCAACACCAACTTCCAAAGCCATATGGTCCTGCTTGAGAAAAAGTACATTCTTCAATGCATTAAAAATTATAGAGCACAAGAACATTTAAGAATTCAGAACTAACGACTACTCGATACATTAACATTGACACTTGATGGGCTCTATGTGTCTCTAGAATAAAGCAAAAAAAGGTACATTAAGATCATCAAATAAAAACAGCCCTTGAATGTAATCAATGCTGTCAAAACTACTCAAAGTGTGTGAAGAACACCAGTGTTTGGTACACTTGTGATGTAAATGGGTGTTTCTCTCCAATCTATACAAGGAAAAATATGGTTTCTCACGGCAGCAATCACAAAATCTACCACAATAACCTGAAAAAATCCGCACATAATAAGCCTTCTCTAACTGCTTCAACCAATCACATCCAGTCGACACCAGCATGATCTTTAGAGATGGAGGTGGCAATCAATCAATTGGCAGGTATATCTGATAAAATCTGCTTCAGTTTCTCGTAAGTCATAAAAGCAATACCAACGCTAGGCACAACCTTATAGTATTCAGGCAGAATCCCTCGGTACAAACCACGTAGTCCTTCAGCCTGGAATATGTGCCGAAATGTACCAAACAGACCAGTATTATAAACACGGGCTTGGCCACCCGCTCCTTCCAACTGCTTCCGTCGCCTCACAAGATCTAGAGGGAATGTTGCTACAATGCATACAAGTTAACAAAATAAGAAGAGCTCTACAAAGTTGTTATGTAATGAACTGCATTCTTAATCAGTAATCTCAGGCTGTGACAATTCACAATGAAATCATTTTTAACTTGCGTTTTTCTTTCTTACCTGGATATAAACACATTGCTGAACAAGTAACTCAAAACTACCAGCAACATACTATATAAAATGCCAACAAATTACCATATTATAATCTACCGGAAATTTGTCTCAAATATTCATGTAACCATTATGATACATGTAAAGTGAGTTAGCTGCATTCACGTATGAACAGAAGCACAATGCAACTGAGCACTAAAAGTGAATCATATACTACCGCTGCTACCAATTACTACTTGAAAGGTTTGTTTTGGGATTGGCTTTGAATGGCCACATTCACATTCACATTCACATTCACATTTCATTTTAATGTAGAAATTGATCATCTTGAATAAAGCAGTCTAGGAAAATAGGGGACTTCACCATGTTTCTTCACATGTGATTTAGATTTTCTTTAAATGACATTCAAATTTATACACATTCATTTTGAGATGATTGACTTTCTCAAATGACTCCATTCAAGATGGTAAATTTATATACTGAATCCTACACAAAAAGTGAACAGGGCCATTTAAGTTTAGGGGATCATTTAAATAGGCCCTTAAATAGTTAAACGAATACATCAACAAAATGATATGTAACATTAACATGAACTCGGTAGTAGGTTCTAGTAAGATATGCATGGCAGCAATATTCAAACTAGGATAACCTTCTGAAAAAAAATATATATATTCAAACTAGGATAAAGATGCATACCTTTTCTAACATGCCAAATCCCTCTTATATTGCAATAAAGGTATCTGAGGAACTGTGGGCGACACTGTGGTTTAATTCATATAGCTTATAGCCAAAGAGTTCATAACAACCCCCCGACAAAAAAGAAGACACAATTTAAAGAAGAGCATTAATCTGGTGAGGAGTTTTTCGGTGGTCTCCTCTTGACACAAATTATGTTGGTATGTATGTATATATGTATTTGACAGTTAAAACCAAGTGCAATGTTTGTAGAACCAAGTTATTGAATAAGTAGAACAACTTAAGTTGATTCAAGCAAGATTCTTACATAAAAAAATATGGAAGTTTGCAAATGACAATATAAAATGTATTTTTATTGATGATTTCCTTACTAAAATTCTCAAATGCCAGATAAAAACCGATTACTTGTCTGGGTCTCTGGCTCTAGAGGGTCAGTCTGGTTAGATAATTAGTGCAGAGCCTGCCCCTCAACCTGCTTCTCTGCACCAAAAGCATTGAAGACAGCTACAGGAATTAACTTCTTTCATAGATGCTAGCAATGTCTAATAACACAATCTCAGATAAACAAATCTACTTAAAAGGATATTCGCTATACAAGTCCAAGTTGAGGATGATTCAACAAGAACCTGCGACAGATGCCCAGAGACAAGAAAATTATACAACCTCCGAAGTTTTCACTCTACTCTTCAGTATTTACTATGCACATGAAAATAGATCAAGAAGGCAACTGGTCAAAGATTGTGCAATTACCATTATATGAGATGGAACATGAAAATATTGTGGTAGTTTTGTATGGAACCAAGACTTCTAATTATGTAGTAAAGGGCATGCAGAATTAAGGGCTTGTTCAGTTTTCAAATACAATTGGAAGTACAAGAAAATGCCATTTCTTGTAGTTACATTTTCTCTTAAATGAAATTTAACAATTAAAAAGGTGTGGAAGCAGTATTATTGGATCACCAAATATGGAGTCATGTTTAGAGAATATTTTGGGAATAAGAAACAAACACCCAAACATATTTTGTCACCAATTTCTGTTTTCCTCTGGCTCAAAAATGGAAATCCTTTTGCAGAACAGAACTAAGCAAGGCCTACCCCAAGTTCTAAGGGGCTTCCTCTGTAGAAGATTTATTAATTACTCACCAGTTGATGATGCAATGCCTGAAAGGCTGCCACAAGCTAGGCTAACCAGGGCAGGAGAGTCATCAGGCCTGATGTCAACCCAGAAAAAGAAAAAAAAAAAAAAAAAAGAAAAAGAAAAAGAAGAAGATAATTAATCATTGTATCTTAAAATAGATGCATGAATTCTTTGGCATAAAAGAATAAAATCTAAGATAATGGTAAGAAGATAGGCACAGAACGTAGTGCATACAGCAACTCATTTTAGAAAAAATATCAGATGAATCCATGCGGAGGGATTACCGCTGTGACTGCCAATAAGATCTCAAGGTGTCATAAACTGAAAAGCTAATTGCTAAACTAGGCCCAACACCCTGCATTAGTGTAAATCTACAGTCAGCTAAACGAAAGAGAGATCATAAAGCGAACTGGAATTACAATAACAGCAGAACAGTACCAACAGAGTTGCCCCAAGTCCTTTGTAGAGGCCGAAGATACCCTCTTCCCTGCTAATCGTACTCAGAGCATGCCCTATACCTCTATAATAGATTACATTCGTCTGCAAAGGTTAACACCAGTTAAGAAAATAAATGCAAGCAAAACAAAATGCACATTGAAAAGAATAACCAATCCAGCAATACTTCCATCTTCCAAGTTGCAAATATAAAACTAGAAAAATCAGGCAAAAGACCACTTGTTAGGACAGTAGATCTGTTTCAAATTGCAAACCATCTGGAATTTATACACGAAATAACATAGCAAAAGAGACTGTCTGTGAAGATAGTTTTAATGTTTCTTTAGTGTGTGCTCCCTCAGCCCTCTGACCGTGCATTCTTGCTTCCCTAAATAATAATTAATATAGGGTCGTATTGTTAAGTAAGCCTTATAAACATATATGAAAACTTTTCCACTTAGACATAAGGCCACAATAACTCAGTCTTCAGAAAATATTACATCTATAATTGGTTCAGTACCAACGAAAGTAACGTAAAAGTTTATAAATGAAAGCAAGAACGGACTAGAGAGTATGCGTAACTTTTCAATCATTCTGATAGAGAGTTGTGCAAGGTCCACTGATCTATACCCAGAGGGTGAGGGGTGAATTAGAACTGATTAACTGTCTTAAATAATCTTTAAATCAATACAGAATTAACAGAAATATAACTTAAGAATCTAGCAGATAGTAAAAATTATATGCAATCCACAACGATTTAATGCAATAAAAGCAATAAACGATAGACACCAGATTTTTACGTGGAGAACGAAACGCACGGGGCCTAATCCAGGCAAACCAAATCCACTATCAGACTATAACCCAAGAATCCTCTAATAACCTCCTTGACACAGAAGACAAACTCAGAAAAGTCTCCAGATAGGTTTCCGCTCATCAATAGTGTCCGCTCCCCACGAATCTGGTTCTCTAGTGAATCGGGTCTAAGCCACTAGTCGTCCAAGCGTTAATCTGGTTGTGAATTGAACCTTAGTGTTGAATTGATCTTTGAGTATGCAGCGACATCTGACAAATGAATACGCTCACCAACTAATGCAGACGATGAATGTCAAAGAAAAAGAGTGATACACTCATAAACTCACAAAGAAATCTGCTCTCCATATGGTGTCCTTTTTCTCTATAGGTCAGCCCTAGTGTCATGTATTTATAGGGAGCCAAGTAATGAAAACAAATTAGGTTTTTGTACAGTTTAAAACCAACTCGGAAACTTCTGTTTCGAACAGCTTGATCGATCAAAATTGATATTGATAGATCGACATCACTCCAGAAAACTTCGATCGATACCTTGATCAATCAAATACTAAGGCAAATTTAACGTAGAAAAAAATTCAATAGAAGGAGTTGTTAAAACATATTTCATGCAAGTTATAATCATTTTATGGTATCAAAATAAGTTAGAAACTTGGAAATTTAGAAACCCCAGACATGCAAATATGCAATGCATGAACCCTAATTGGTGAGTGCATTAGAGTGTCAAATTACCTTTTTATCCTTGTAGACGAAGATTACAGAAATACCCATGGTTGTAGCATACATTCCATCTTCGACTTTGGGAGGTAACTGACACTAAATAACTTTTGAGCAATCTCTAAACTAGATAGAAATTAAAATAAAAGTACAAACTCAATTTTGTTCTACGAAATTTGCCAACATGTCCTATTGAACTAACACATTCTAATGTGGCATTACTAAAGGTTAAGAACTAGATCAATTTCCAATCCTATTGTGGTTGTTAAAATCACGATTTCGATCATAGGATCCTACAATCCGAATTGCCAAATCGATTCGAACCACATTAAAAATTGATCGGCGTCAGGATTGCAATAGGATCAATTTGATTGCAGTGGGATTGATAGGATAGTAGGATTGTACAATCCCATTGATCCTACGAAATGGGTTTGTTTTACTTTTCTATTCAAAATTTTATTCCTGCAACCCATTCTAAATAAAGAAACCTCAGGTTTAAAGTATAAAGCCCAAGTGCCCAACTCTTTTAAGCCCACTTTCAATTAAAAATAAACAAAAATGATGACAACCGTGTTAAAAGTCAATTATTGGAAGTTAGGTCTCAACATTGATCCCTATTTGCCTCGTGAATCTAGGCGTCTTACTTTCCTTATCATATAGATAGGGATTCAAGTAGTGTCAAGAATATTACAACATTGCTCTCTCTATATATATTTTTTTCTATTTATGAAAATATAAATTACAGTTCTTCAAAGGCAAGTGGGCTATACTGCAAGGTGACCCAATCAAAGAAGAAAAAGGGTAAGATTAAATTGCACAAAAATATAGAAGCATATCTAGTAAAATTGCAAAAATTTCCACTAGATAAGTAATAATCGGATGATGAATAAAAACTCTATCCATGTATCAAATTTGTCTAAGGATTAACTTGGAAGTTGTTGCTCAGATGCACAACAGAAACATATATAATGTTGCAGAGAGCAGACAAGCAGTAATCCTATGTCAGTTAATGCTTTAACAACATGATCAATTAGTACAAGAAACTCAAACCAAATATATGTATATGCTCATGGGACATAGCGCACAAAGGGTATGAGTCTCTATTATTACCTGAGCAGCAAGACGTGTCCTTATAAGATCCAGAGGATATGTAACGGATGCAGCAGTTATTCCAGCTAAACCACCACCTACAAGTCGTATGCAAAGATCTGTACTTAGATTCTCACTATGACCTTCCAGTCCCAGAATCAGCTGTAGTAACTGCGATTTGTAAAAAATCAATTGAATCAAATATAGGCCACTGCTACAAAAAGGCTGACCTACCAATGCAATTTTATCTATAAAATGGAGTTTTCCATAGAACGTCTGTACCAACATTCTTGTAGCGTTCAAATGAATAAAAGCTGACAGACGAATAAGGAAGACGGTGAGCAATCATAACCAGATTTCCTTTCCAAAATGCCCGGAATCCTTCTTCACCAACAATACGAGAAGCCTCACGCCATATACTTGTCTTTTTCAGGGTAGCAACATCAGAGTGCATTCCTTGCACCTGCAGAGATAAGAGATGGCAGAGATCAGGAGTGAGTCCAGTTTAGCGGAGGAAATGATTTCAGCATTATTAACACTTGAATTCTCCTTTGGCAAGGAACCACTTGATTTATTCTGTCATCACCACATTGCAGTTTCAGAACTGCACCATGGATCATGGTAGTGAGGATGCATGAGGCCTCTGGGGGAATTCCTGTGAGATGCCAATGAATACAATACCCAAAACCACCTTCCAAGGAGGCATTTAACATTGATATACACCCAGGATAATGGGTAGGCAGACTCGAATCTAAAAGCAGCCACTTTGTTTAAAATAGTGCTAAAGATTAGGCTTATTCTAGTAATTTCTTCTTAGCACCCCACACGGACGAAACCAACGGTGAGTTATACCATACAGTAAATGCTTTATCATTACAAGAGGTTCTCCGCACAAGTCCGAAAGTATTCCAGCAGGGAATAAATTGATTAAGGAAAGTTATCAACTTCTAGTGTTTTGTGCATTTGTTTGTTATTGTTTTACTACATTATTTTGGAAGAAGAAAACCACTTCATTTACATATTTGTATAAAAGAAAAATCTAATTGTTATAGACCAAAATTGTTTTCTTATAGAATATTTTGAAAAACCAGAGTCAAAAGATGTCCATGGATTAGTGTCAATGAATTAAAAGTAACAACATGATTTGAAATTTTGAATGCAATAGCAAAAGATAAGTGGCATGACACATGAAATCAATAATCTAAAAGTAGAATAGGGCTAAAGCCACTGCAAAAGGTCTGGATTCATTAAATTGAGAGAAAAAAAAAAATTGCCACCACAAGTGGTAGACTGGGTGTAGACCTAGGTCCCTTGGTATTACTTTGTTTAATATTATATATATACATATATATCACCAACTGTACAACTTTCAGAAACCCTTGATGAAAATATGGACAAGAAATAAGTGCATGGCAGCATAGGTAGACTTATTTTAAGTAGCTTCCTCAAAATGCTTTAACTTGACAAGTGCCACTCATATTCTCTCTTTAAGAGTCCCACATGACAGCAGGTTTCACCTCAGGAAAGCTGTTAAACTATTTACAATAATTTGTTCCCCATAACCTTACCACTTAGGTCCTAAGCTTGTTCTATACTCTTTCTATTTTTCTGGGTGAAACTCAAATTCAATTTATTCTCTCATAATGGTATCAGTTGTCCTGATATCCATGCCAGTATTCATCACTGTAATAAATCATTCCTCAATGTATAAATACACACATATATTTGTGTAAAGAAAAAGCTTCTTCTACCTCAAAATTCACCCAATTTTCTGATTTCAGTTTTGGTTTTTTAAGCAAAGACTCTCTGCCCACCGAAGTCTAATATCCAACTGCATGGACTTTTATAGTTTATCTTGTTACATAATGCATCGAATTCAATCCGTATCAGTTCCAGAAAGCCTTAGAAATTTAAACAGAAACGACCACAAACAGAAATCGAGCAACGAACCTGAAAGAGTATGGTAAGGCGAGCGAGCGGCGCCGTACAGGTCTTGCTTACGGCGCCAGCAACGCCGCCGGCAAGAAGCTGCGGAATCGTTCCAATCTGCGAATTCCGTTGCAGTGACCTCTGTTGCGCCACCAATTTATGCGCAGCACCGCCTTCTAAGACGGCGCTCCCATGGCCCGAACTGAGAGCTCTCTGCCCTCCTCCTTCAACCACCACACCCACTCTAGCTTCCATTTCTATATCTCTCTGACTCCAAAACACACAATCTCTTTCTATATATATACACTTCAGATAGATTGCGTGGAACTATAGAAATACAGAGACAGTTTACTACTTGTGATCGTGAGATGAGAGCCTAAAAGCATAAGTATTCGAAAACCTAACACAAAATGAATGAATGAACAAACGAAACCCTAAAATTGGGAAATGCTTCTCGAATCACGAGGCATAGCGCTAGGGTAAAAAAAGGCAAAGCTTTGTTCTGTTCGTCTTCTCTGCGTGTTTTGGACGAACAGGTTTGGTTATACGACGTCGCGGCCAACCGTAAAAAGCATCACATTAACGTTCCGAGTGATTTGGTGGTGTGCCGTTACTTAGGGATTTATAGACTTGCGTGAGATCAGAACCGTTGGTTCAACAGGATAGAATACCACAATTTGTTGATTAATAAAAAATAACACACATGATTAATGTGTTTATTGTAGCATTTGGGTTTAAAGAGTATTATCGAGCATATGATCTTTTCTCCATTGCAGGATATCTGATAATTTGATTTTGGAATATTCTTCATAGTCGAGGTTGCACAGCCAGGAGCCAGCTGACACATGTATAGTTAGGCAACCATGCTCCCATATTTTTCAGCACCACACATCGACCGGGTGCAGGAGGCGGACGCGAAAGTCCCAAAACCTAAGTGACACAAGACATACCACGTTATTGTATATATACACTTTATGCTTATCTTTGGTATGCATAAATAAAATAAAATATAGATAGAAATGAAATGAGAATGAGAGTGGAATGAGAATGAGAGTGGAATGAAATAGTCATTTTGATTCTATTATTTGGTTGTAAATATGAAATGTGTAGAAATATAATGATAATAATCATTCTATTATTTGGTTGGACCAATTTAAAATTTAAAATAGAATAAATTTCTAATTGAATTATCCAAAATATCCCCCTTAGTAACAAAAAAATCAAATTAACAAAATGACATTCTCTAATAATTTTTAAAAATAAATGGTGGCGGTAGTGGATGGTGGAAAGCGATAGTGGTGTAGGTGGTGGTATTAGAAGGTGGCGGTGGTGGTGGAAGGTGGCAGTGCTGTTGGTGGAAGGCGGTGACACTAGTGTGGTGGTTATGATGGAAGGAGATAGTGGTGTGACTATGGTGGTGGTGGTGGAAGGCAATGGAGGTGGCGGTGGCGGTGGTGGAAGGCGGTAGCGGTGGTGGAAGACAGTGGTGGCGATGGTGGTGATGGAAGGCGATGGCGGTGGTAGAAGGCGGCGGCGGTGGTGGTGGTGTAAGGCGGTGATGGTGGCGGCGGCGGCGGCGGGGGTGAAAGGCGATGGCAGCGGTGAAAGGCGATGGCAGCGGTGAAAGGCGATGACAGCGGTGGTAGTGGAAGGTGGTGAAAAGCAACGGCAGTAGTGGTGGTAGTGGAAGGTGGTGGCAGTAGTGGTGGTGAAAGCGGTAACGGTGGTGGTTGTGGCAAACGGTGGTGGTAACGGTGGTGAAAGGCGGTGGCGGTGGTGGAAGACGGTTGTAGTGGTGGTGGTGAGTAAGGCGGATGTGGTTGTGGTGGAAGATAATGGTGGTTTTTGGACTTGAAACATGATGATTTTTTGAGAAGTTGATTTTTTAAAAAAAATTACTTGGGAATGGAATGGTCATTCAATAGGTTTAGTTGTGGAATTGATTTTTATTCTCAAGAATGGATTTTCATTTCAATGGAATGGCCATTCCATTTCAGTCATGCACACCAAACAAAGGAATGGTTGGAATGGACATTCCATTCCTGCACACCAAACGTAGCATTAGATAGAATAAAATAAAAAATTCTTTCAACTATGAAATGATGTATTTTGATCTATGAAGCATGGATGCAAACACGAAAGAACGATACGATACGACATGGATACGGCGATACGACAAATTTTAAAAAAATAGGACACATACACGGCAATGATACGACAATAAAATAATATATATATTTTTATTATATATAAATTTTTATTTTTATTTAATTTTTTATTTATATTTAAATTAGGCTAACCAAATAATCTCTACTAGTCTTAAAAAACATAAAAATCATAAGTTTAAATTTTATTAAAATATAAGTTTATATCCAACAGTTGAATAAGCTATCTTTGTAACCAAACATATATGTTTTTTTTAATTAATTTATTTTTTTAACACACCTTTTAAGATGATAAGGTAACAACCTCCATCATATCCCATTTTTCTCCACACGTGCTTCGCTTATTTCTTCATACTTCGCCTCTATCCCTTTCTCTGTCATTTAGTCAAGCCAAAAGTTTTGATGAAGCGTTGGATGGAAAATAAGAGGTTGTTCCTTTTTTTCGACGGTAAAACCCAACACTCATAGAAGATCTTACTCTTTATTCCTTTTTTTTCCCTATAGTTGCTTTGTAATTCCCTCAATCTCTTCATCTCTTTTAGATTTCTACATCAGTCGTCTCACTAAATAGATCTCAGTGAATGAATTCACATGCATATATACACACACACACACACATACACACACAAACCTTCATTTTCTTTTCAAAAAAAAAAAAAAAATTAAATAAATCGAATAGGCGTGTCTTCGGCGTGTCCTCAGCGTGTGTCTGGCGTATCCTTTGCTATGTCCGACCTTGAAAAAAATAATAAAAAATTAGACGTGTCGGACACTGGCACGTCACCACTTATAGGTGTGTCCGTGCTTCATAGATTTTGATTAAGTAGACATACCACTTACTCACCCATTATTCTCCTATTTTTTAACATTTCAATTTGATTCTTCATTGCTAAAAAAAGAAAAAAGATTGAACCATTCAGGAAAAACACTGGAACTATATGATATTAAACCATTGGGGAAAAAAACACGGGAACACTAATAGAATCGGCACAAGCAACCCTTGTCTAGCAACTCTTTTAAATTATTTCCTACATGCTTATTTAATAAAATTAATTTATGAAGAGGTCATTTATATTAAATAAATTATAATTAAAAAATATAAATTATATAAATTAATAGGAAGACTTTCATGCGGTTCAAAACAACGGACTTTTCAGCGGACCAAAACTCAATTAGTCAATTACAATTTATTATTTTGTCAAATTTAACCATAGTTAATAATGCTAACTTTAACGGTCAATTTACAATAGTTAGCTAATACCAAAAAAATTATTTTTGCTGTAATTTTGATAGTTGGGTTATTTATAGAGGCACGAGCTCTATATTCCTAATTATATTCAAATTCTAAGACTTTTTTTTATTGGCCTTCATTATATAAAAATAAAAAATAATAAGAAAAGTCTTAAATAAATTTTGTATGAAAATAAGAGTACTACTTGATTTTATGTAATTTAATAAATATAGTAAAATACTCAAATATATATGTTATCCATATTTGATTTGATTGATAATATAATTTTATTAACTATAATTAAGTCTGATAAAATAATAAAGTGTAATTGACTAATTGAGTTTTGGTCTGTTGAAAAGTCCATTGTTTTAGACTGCATGAGAGCCTTCCTGTATAAATTAAATTTTTACTAACGTGCAAAGCACGTGCAATTTTACCTGAATATCCTTCTTTAACTATTTTAAATTAGGTAAATTGTTTAGGTAAATAGAGTATTCCAAAAAAACTCTAGTTAGAGAAGGATATATAAAATTTATTTCAATAAACATATAGCTAACAATTCTTTATCAAAATTAAAATACCATCTCACAACTTGTTCTTACACACATACAACTTCTAACTAAAATACTCATTTGAAACATATCATATAGTTTTCAAATAAATGCTTAAATAATATATTAAGTTGGGGTATATTTTTGTTATACCATTGGAAAAAAACACTGGGACACTTATAGATTCGGTACAAGTAGCCCTTGTCTAGCATTGGGCTCAAGAAAGTTGCAGTGACAGGCACTTGCGTTAACTGTAGAAACGTATGGAAGACGTTTTGTTTGCACATCACCTTCTAAAATGATAAAACTAGCCCCCTCACCTGACCAATAAGGAAAATCATATTTAGCTGTTTTCCTTCATAATTTGCTTTGATAGCTTTGTGGGCTAGTCTCTGCCCATATAAAAAAATGTGAAAAACTTCTTTCCAAAGCTTTGTGTGTGCTTTACCCAATTGATATATCAGCTACAAAAAAGCCATACAAAAATTGATGAATTAAAAGTACAGAAAAAAGTATATACCAACTTAAGAATATGTTATAAATTAGATTCATAGGCACACTTAAAATACTTATATTAGAATTTTGTTACAATAACTGGATCTAACATCCAATTGCAGGATAATTTTCTTTTTTCTTAAAATTATATTCATTTAAATTCTTTATACATATTTGTTTAATAAAATTAATTTACGAAGAGCTTGTTGGTATTAAATAAATTATAATTAAAAATATAAATAATAAAGAAAAAAAAATAATATTTACTATAAATTGATTTTTACTAACGTGCCATGCACGTGCAATTTTACTAAATATAAATTTATCCAAATGTCTTTCTTTAATTATTTTAAATTAGGTAAACTGTTTAAATAAATACAATATTTTTTTAAAAAAAAAACTCTAGTTAAAGAAGGATATATAAAATTTATTTAAATAAACACATTATTAACAATTCTTTATCAAAATTAAAATACTATTTCACACTGGGTTCTTACACACGTGCAACTTCTAAATAAATTAAAATTTTAAAACATATCACATTGTTTTCAAATAAAAGCTTAAATAATATGAATTTTTACATATAAATGTATTTATTGGCTTATATTTACCCTATTATGTAGTCAAAGTCTGATAGTTACAAAAATGAAATTGACTCAAATGCTGACATGGACATGAACTTTTACTGTTCATTTTAATTTGTTACCTAAAATACCCTTTTTACTTTTTGAACCAAATTATTTTTTTGCCCCCTTTCTCCTTTCCTTTCTTCTCCTCGTTCTCTTTCTACTCTCATCAGACTAAAGAAACCCAAAAATTCACAGAGCTCTCCTAGAAGGCAAAAGTTTCATACTAGACTGTTGCCAATCATTCCTCTTCTCCATTACCTCGTTCCCCATCAGCTCTTGAATCTTACCTCAAATGAGAAAAACATGAGAAAAAATATATTTTTCTTTTCTCCCAATCAGATATTGGAATCAAGTAACCATTCAAAATTTCAGAGTAAAAATTTTAGTGGCAGCCCATATAGGAAAAAAAAAAAAAAAATCAATTAACAATTTCAAGCAGGTTGTGAATTCACCATTAAATCAAGAAAAGCCCAAGTCCAAGAAAAACAGAAACATATTTGCACAAACTGTTGGTAAAATATATATGCTTCATGTGACATTTAAGATATAAAAAACCTTATACTAATATGTCATGAGATAATTAACAATATGCTAAGCAATCATTAATTAAATATATAACTCTATATTTAATTAAATATGCAAAATAAAGTAATAAAATAATAATAATAAATAAAGAACCTGGACCAA